ACTTTTGAAAATATATTCTAAAATTAATTTCTACAAGTCCTTTGCAGCCGTCCCCCGATGGGATAGCTGTGAGTTTACGGACTTACAATGCTAAAATCAGGGTTCGATTCCCCGTAGTGGACACAGCAGATAGCCCAATGTGGCTCTAGTATAAAACATACAAACAAGCCTTAGAAAAAGTTGAAAAAATAGTTCTTATATCTTTTGTCTGAAAGACATTTCAAGATTCAATGTTCACAAACATGAAAGTTCAGACAAATCAGAAAGGTTAACGTTTTACCGCGATCATCATAATAATAGTATAAATAAAATCAACATAATATTTGTACTTAAAAAAAGAGGATATTATAGTTTATTAAATAGTACAGTTTAAGCCATAAAACGATTGATTTCTATCAGTTTACGTAATTCATAAACAACGTTGTAAATGGATAAAAAAAAAAGTTTTAGAACAATTTTGCATGTTTAGTACAAGGTTTAACTCGGGTAGCAAATATTTCACTGTTTTAATTAGCTTTTAATTTAACTGATTTCCTACTCAATATGTAAATGTTTCAATGTTCTCCAAGCATTTGCAAATGACCTGATACATTCATATGTGTTAATATTTAACTGCTACGGGACTTCTTGTTTTTACATTCATATATGTTTTTCTTTAACTGATAAGGTGACTCTTCTTTGGTGTAATACAGATACATTTTTATTTGTTAATATTTAACTGCTAGGGGGACTTTTTATGATGTTGCATTATTATATGTTACTAGTTAGACGGGAGAAATAAAAACTAGTTTGTAACAAAGGATAGGAATTTGTGCTTCTATTTTTTCTTAACACAATAAACATTAAAAGTGCAATAAAAATACATAAAGGTACCAATACTGAAAAGAAAGACATACTGTTTTCAAGAATTCTAACAATAGTGGTTACATAGTTCATTCTAATGCTGAGGGATATACAACATTGGTAGTTTTTCCGAAATTAGATATGAAATTAGATGGGGGATCACAACCCTCATAACTTTCTTCATGTCCTTGACACAGTGATACAGGATACATACACACACAAATTGAAAGAAAAAGTTAATGAAAATTTTCATTTTCTTGTTTAAATATCCTAATCTTATCATTTCAGTACTCGTTTCTTTTCGTTATAGGTAAGACTCTTAACGACTCTGCAGTGATTTTATGTTCATAGAAAGAAATTCAGATTGTTATAAATATTGGTTCTTTTAATTAGTTACCCGCTTTTCCACATGCTCAAGTCAGTTCAGTGTTCTACTTTGTATACACAAAAGGGAAGGACTAAAATATTTCCTTTTACACAATTATTGCATAACACTTATTTACAATGTATTTTCATATGAAGCATTAATCCACACTTTTATTTTGTTCGTACAATTAGAAACACGCGTTATATGTTGGCTCAGATAAAATACCACGATTACTTTAGAGTTAAAAGTATTTAAAAACACCCGTAATGTCGTTCACTGTTGTTAACGCAACATTGAATTTTTTGTTTTGTTTTTATACATAGGGTATTTAGTTTTAATTCTTATTGGGTTTGGACATATTCCCTTCTTTTTCAATTTTATCATTAAAGGTAAATATATTTAAAAAAAAATAATTTTTCCAACACAGTTAGTATAATTGCATTTTTAGTAGGAATTACAAAATATTTTGAAGAACTTTACTGCACAATAAAAAGTAATACGTTTCTTCAATAAACACATATAGACTTAAGATATTAACGTATGTTCATAGCATGAGTGGCATGTCTAAATTATGATACAAAAGCGAGGTATTCACTTAAACACAGATCAACACACACAAAAAAAAGCTACAAAATCACGTAATACCGAGACATTCATTGTGGCCGAATATTATCTTTCCACTGGTCATAAGACAGTGACAATCAAAGAAGGGAGCATCATCAAACATGGGCACAAAGATCATTGCAGTATTGAACATAATGGCATTGAATTCCGCTCATAATAATATTGTAGCTAGTTATGTTCGTAGTGCTATCGTAGCAATAATAACTGCAAGGCAGTTGATATTTCATTTGTTCTAAGAGTTAGAATATTGTTTACAGCCCAATATTCCGAAGGGCCATAGTTCCGAAGGGTCATAAGTCCGAAGGGACATAGTTCCGAAGAACCAATGTTTCGAAGGGACATAGTTACGAAGGACCAATGTTTCGAAGGTCTGATATTCCGAAAATTGAACGGAAAAGCAATTACACATGCAGTCTTCATTTTAATTTACGTTGTTATATTACATAAACAGTAGTATGTATATAATGTTGTATTAGAGACATATTGAGGTATATTTGTAATCATTCCAGAAACTCATATTATTGCTAACTGTTATTAAAGCTTTCTAATCTTTTGAAAGAATTATGTCAAAATTTTCATAATAACATCATCATTATTGTGGAAACAGGATGAAAAAGTTGATTGACAAAAGAAGATTAAAGCAAACTAGTACTAGCATAGTAGTCTGCGTATCTACGTTACACGCAGACTTTCGGAATATCTAGCGGAAATGTTTACGAAATATCGATCTGTCCCTCGAATACTGATAATTGCGTGACAGTAATTAAGTGCAGAAACAGTCATGATGATATACAGAAACACTTTCAGATAGTTGTTGAAATTGTAACCACTTTAAGATAAAAAGAAAAACATAAAAGCGAAAACATCACTTTTAATATTTGAATAATATACACACGTACAGAGACTTGTACACTTTAATTATGTGGTTATAAATATTGAGTGTGGATTGAAAAGAGATACAGTAATCTATTGTAAAACTTTATTTAAAATACTTACCCTAATTAGCCATTTAATGACGTGGTTTTTTGTCCATTTTGAGACTCTGTTATACGAGGGTAACTTAGGCTGTTCCTGACTTGTCATCGCTGGAATAATACTAATAATACTCACACTGACAGATCATAATGGTTTTAAGAACTTTCATTGGTATTAGAAGAATACAAAAGTTCACATTCTATTTCGCATTTCATACTATTTCGTTATATTTTAGTGGGGTATATAACAATTGGCAAAATGCCACTAACTATAGAACAAATATAATCACATGTGTTGCATACTTTTCGACATTCACAAGCAACATAGAACTTCTATGATGCTTCCCCCAAAACCCGGATGGGCGTGTCTTTTGCCTCCACAGTTTCCGCTTATTGGCGAATTGAAAGTGGCATGGATAAGTAAAAAGTTTTATTATTCACAAACTAAATTGTATAAATTTTAAGTAATTGTAATTAATTTATGAAATTCATTGAAATTGTTTTGATATTTAAAAAGAGGTGACCTGTATTTGGAAATCAGCGTTAATAAAGTTAATCACGTGACATTAATGATACTCAAGTAGTTTGTTCTGGAGGAAAGAGGAAAAAGTATTAGCATGTCAACATTTTTTGGTGAAACTTAAGCTTAATTTGCAGTAGATTAGTGACTATAAATTATTCACATATACAATATGGCTGCAGAATTTAACTCCAAAGTTTCTAAAGAAACTCTCGATCAAGATCGATTTGTGGAAAACATCGATGTTGATTCTTCAGATAAAAACATAGATATGAAAAATTTAGAATTAGAAACGCCGAATCAAAGGCTAAAGGAAGAGGATGCTGGTGAGTTTTTCACCATTGAGTAATAATATTGATAATATTTAACCGGGTTTTAACTTCTTGTTTTGTCACATTATCTTTTCTGTATGAACAGGTGAAAAAATAAACTGTAAAGTGACAGGCAGTCATTTGACCCATAAAGGTCATTCCTTGCCCATAACAACAAAAACGTATAGTATTATTGTATATATATATATATATATGTATGTGTGTTTTATCCAACATAAGTCATTAGATATATTATTTCACATATTTATATCCATAAACAATAAAGCCTAAAGCGTCCTACAATAGACCCACAACATTAAAAGTGATTGCTGACAAATTTTACACATCCCATTCAACTGTGCACAAAATAATTCACAAAGATCTCCTTGTAAAGAATCATAAACCATAAATACAAACTTCTCCCATGACACATTGTTGAGAAAAAAAAACAGTTTCATAATTTATAGGTTATTGGACATGAAGGGATCTTTTTGGTTCATCACAGATGTCCCGATTCCATACCTGAACAACAACAAAAGAAACTAATCGCTAAATCCAATCCCGATTTGTCTTCCACCAAGCAAGTTCAGCATGTTAAATAAAACAAGGCAGTTTTAAATAAAATGCTTACATTTAACATGCAAGAACAAATAAGGTGAAAGAATACGTTGGCTTACAAATGTCATTCCTCCATCTATGAAAATATTGAACCAAACTGAATGAAAGAGTTACATCTATATACTTGTCCAACAACTGACAGCATACATCACATTATTAAATAAACCATTACAAAAGATAACTAATCTAGCCAAAGAAGAATGCTGGATCAGTAAAAGGTACATCCAGAACTTAACTTATTATTCAAGAACCTGTAATATTCAGTTTGTTGTTCAAACCTTTTTCATTTCATCACCCATAAAACCAATCATAAGCAGCTTATCCAAACCATTTCAAATTTTAATTACATAGATTAAATAATCGTTATATGTATGATATTTTAGTTGTCTTCTACTCACCACCTTGAACCTATCTTTATATAGGATTTGAAGAATATGTAGCATTTATACTAGATGATAAAAACCCTATAACCCTGGGTTATAGGGTTTTCATCATTTAGTATCAAGACGTTTTGAACATACGTGTTTTTCTGATAGCATTTATACTACATATTTATTCTTCTAAATTATTCAGCAGACAAGCTGTTTAAAATACTAGGGATAAATATGAAGCCAAATCTATCACTCTTTTCACCACTTGTCATTGAGATATATCAAAACTGTTGAAGCATTATATGAAATGCCAGGAGATGTTCTGTTGTAGCTCTATGCAGTCTTCTGGTATCACTGATCATTATATAAGCAACCATTAGATGAGCACTAATGAATGGGGACACCAAACTTCAGTAGGCTTATCCCTGTGACTTTAATCTCTTTTAATAGTTTAAATCACATTATTGTAATGGTCCCTCTTTTCATGCTCTCTAGAATGTTAAAATCATTCCTTTAGACAAAAAAACAACTAAAATCTCAGTTAAGTTCACCAAATGGAATCTCATCAATAGCATATGGACAGAAAGGATTGTTTCACTGTTCAAGGCTGTCCCTACAAACCCACTATTGAGTAAAAACTTAATATACACCCATTATTTACAATAAATTATCAATTGCTCTTTTAAACTCTCACAAAGTGCCCACCTCCACTACTGATGGTGACAGTAGATCACATAAGCCAGTCATGTTGTTATAAAAATCAAATTAGTGTTTTAACTGGAGACTAACCTTTCTTAAGTCTTAAACTTGTGTCCTCTCATTCTAATGTCATCAGATTATAGTATAAAGACACTAGAGGCCTTTATCCTATCAGTCTTCCAAATAATCTTGTAAACTTCAATAAGATTGCCTCTTAACTCATTTTCTCAAGAGAAAATAAGTTAAAAGACCTTAACCTATCCCCATAATATATCCCTACCATCCCTGAAATCATTCTAGTAGACCTTCTCTAAACCTTTTCTATTAAGTCAGTATTCTTGAAAAACAATTGAAAATGGCTATCACTAAATGTTTTCCTGCAGTGAACCTCAACTGTGCTTATTCCACACATAAGTTGTTGCCTGCAATACATAAAGATGCGATATCTACCACACAGAAAAGTATGGTTATTTATGAATTCTCGTGCCACTGCAAATGTTGGTACATAGGTTGCACTTCACAAATATTGCAGGATAGAATTAAACAGGTACCCACATCCATAAGAACTAAGAGTGTAAAAGTAAAGAATTTAACATGTTGCTCCTATAAAACAAAAGGTCTACCACCTAAAT